CTCTTAGAGCGCTTACTTTACGTATTTTATTGTCCTCTCTGTTGTCTATTCCTTGTTCTCCGTTATTACTTTTCTTGACTTTTCTGTTTTCCATCTGATTTTACATTTATCTTTTCCAAAAGATGAATGTTATATGGGTTTCTAGCGTGAGTTTCATCCAACGTTTTCACTCGTCAACTAGCCGGATGTACGCAGGCTAATGGGTTTCCTGTGCCTAACGATTACGATTGGGGCGGGCGCTGTGTTTTGTCTACAAACAACGACAATGGCGGTCCTGAAAAAAGTGATGGTCCTTTTCTTTGAATATACATTTGCAATTTTAGCACTMATAAGGCTTGCTATTTCCTTCATCTTCAATCCAAGCATATTCAAAAAAGTGGAAAGATCGGGTAAGAGCTTCTTGCAACCTCGATGACTTCGGCTTCGATGACTTAACTTACTGGTCCTTACTTAAGCTTAATTAACTTCAGTAGGAATTGTCTTGTTTTTCTTTTAGCTCCTTCATGCTTGACTGATAAATCGTATGGTGAGCATAATTATGTGAAAACTGCCTCAAACATCAAATTTCACTACGTTTCAAAGGGAGAAGAAGACAAGCCTTTGATGCTTTTTGTGCACGGATTTCCTGAGGTGAGCTTATTAGGATTCTTATATACCCTTATTTACTTAATAGGGCTTCATATATTTTTTTTACTTGGAAAAGTCAGCTGTATTATATGATTATTTTAAATAGTTTGTTCAAAGTTTTGTATTAAGGGGAATTTCTAATTTCTGCACTGCACCCCCAGTCTAATTGTGTGCTGTGATTTGCTATGTTTATAAAATCACTTGGAAGAAAAAAAACAGTGAAATTATGTAAGAAAAATATTAGTTACTACACTAACAAAATCTGTGACAAATTATGTTATTTTGCAGTTCTGGTATTCTTGGAGAAACCAGCTAACTGGACTTCAAGATGTGGCATACAGAATGGTAGCCCTGGATTTGAGGTACTTCTGCCCAGCCCTGCAAACTAGTCGTTTTTATAGTATAATTATTGATATTGTTTGTTATAATTAATTATGATCATAGAGGGTATGGTGACAGTGACAAACCAGAAGGYTTATGTCATTATAAAACCAATCTTCTGGTCAAGGATATCAAGGAATTTGTAAGTGTATATAGAATTATGTATTTATAATTTTGTTCATAGCATTATTTTGTTTTGTCAACTTTTTCATCTGTGTCATTCAACATTTATATTTTTATTTTAATTAATCTATTCAGCTGATCATCTATTCATCCACCATTCTAACTGCATTCTTCTATTCATGTCAATCTKTTTCTTTAATTTACTCATTTTTTATTCAGATTCCTTCTTTGTTCTTCCCTCCCTTCCCTCCCTTTATTCCCATTTATTCATAACTTCATTCATTTGCACATTTCCCATTTTTTGTTCATGCATGCATATTTTCAGATTGAGGCACTTGGTTACAGCTCATGTATACTGGTGGCCCATGACTGGGGTGGTATTTTGGCCTGGTAAATGGATGGTTATAACTGAATGTCTCAATGAGTATTTCTTGATATGAAAATGTTTTAAATTGTACAATTTCTTTCTTGCAGGCGTTTTGCTCATGAATATTCCCACATGGTTAACAAACTGATTGTCCTGAATGCTCCTCACCCCATGTAAGTCTACCTGATTTGAATATCAGAACAACTTTTTGATAAATAATTATAATATGTACATTCATGCATGTCTATAGTACAGAGCATGAAAATGAGTATATTAAATCATTAAACTGAATTTTGCATCATTTCATTTTCAATGTAGAATCTTCAAAGAGTTTGCAGCAACGAGCAAGGAGCAAAAGAAGAAGTCATGGGTAAGAATTAATAACAATAAGTTTATCAAATTCCTTTGTAGTAGAATACTAAATTATAGAACTATGTTGGTTCACAGTATGTGGCATTTTTCCAAGTACCATATATCCCTGAATTGTTCATGACTGTTAAGGACATGAATGCACTAGAAAGCAGTTTCAGAAAAAGCCCAATGGTAAGGTTACATTCACACACTAAACTTGTGTTTGATATGCTTCTATTGCGAGTACTATTTCTTGCTCTATCTTTCTGCATTTTCTTGTCTGCTACACAAACTCAAAAGAGATCTTTATGCATTTCTCTCACATAATATCTTGTTCATATACAGCTATTTCAAAAAATGTTGTTGGGGAGAACAGAGAATGGCRATTGTCAAAGGGGTCTTGAAGGGAGATTGCAAGACCAAAAGGGCCTATGGTTACACTGTTTTGATAAACAAAATTTTACTTATTGGATTCACCTTAGTTACATAGAAATTCTGACTAAATGGAGAATGTTTACCACAGACTGTCTTAAACTGTACAAATCAGTTGTTATTACCTTTCAACTATAGCAAAACCGGCCCCATGGCTATACTTTCGGTCGTGCAATCGCCATTCGATCATTGACATTTGCCATTTTATCCAACAACCTTTTTTTAAAATAGCTATATGTAAATATTTCAGGGTTTAAGAAAAAAGGAATTGATGACTGATGAAGACATGGAGGCTTTCAAATACACGTTTGGTAAACCCGGTGCCTTCACTCCTCCTGTTAACTATTACAGAAACTCAATGAGYAAATATGAGCCACTCGGCTCTTGGAAAAGCAAGATTCCTTGCCCTGTAATGGTTATCTGGGTAATGAGTGATTTATGATTATATTTTTGCTAAATTATAAGAGAAATTTAAAGTGCTACTTGCATGAAAATGGCCTCACTTCAAAACTTCAAGCAATACAAATATATGACTCATTTATATCTATTAAAAACAATTGCGGGAAAATATTTGTTTTGGAATTATCCCACATCAGAGAAATTTTGATTCAAAAGATGGAAGAACAAAAGGATTGAGTAGATGACGTCATCTACTCCAACATTTTTTGCCCAAATTATTAAGGATTTGCATGAATATTGGCTTGAAATCTGTTGCTTCATGATTATTACACCCATATGGATAGGTGTATTTGATTCCCAAGTCTTTTCTAATGTTTCGCAATTTTCGTCCAAGTAGCCCTTTAACATGAAATAATTGTTTCTATAGGGCACTAGTGATGGGGCTTTGGTTGAAGGAAACCTCGAAGGTCTTGACCAATATATTGATGATTTAACAATCAGGTTTGTGTGTAGCAATAATTTTTAGTTGTTATTATAATCATGTCTAGTTTTTTTATGATTTATTTGCTTTCAATATTTAGGAAAATAATTGGTGCAAGCCACTGGGTGCAACAGGATGAGCCAGCTCTGGTCAACAACTACATCAAAGACTTTATCATTCAACACTAGATAATAATTCCAAGTCATTGCAATTGAAAACAGTTGGATCATACTGGAATATGTTCAATATCCTTTCAAACTAAGAAAATTTATTGATTTTACCTCTATATAGTAATGATAACTGTTGTCAAATTTTTAGAAAATATCACATGCAGTCATTTAGCATATAGCAAATAAACATTAATAAAAATCTGACTTGATTTGACTTGATTATTTGCACTATTGACCCAGCTAATTGGGCTCCCTGTGTAGTGTCGRCAAAGTCCAGGCTCCCAACCTCCGGAGAAATAATGTCTGTTCTGGGGAGGTTGATTTTTCTTTCTTTTAGGCTTTTCTTTGCTCTTGTAGCACTCATATAGCCTGATTTTCAGACGGGACTTGAGTCCTATGCTTCACTCACTCCACCCCCACTGAAAGTGGAAACTGGAAGTAGGGGTGGAGTGAATTGTAGGACCCAGGCCTCGTCTGAAAATCAGGCTAGCACTCATAATAAGGCTTGAATTAGAAATTATTACTAGAAATTTAACTATCAGTTTGTGTTTGTTACAAAGGTCATTCATCATCAGTTACTTGAAAAAGTAGGCTGATTTTTTTAGTCATTTGCCAAATTTTAAAWGGTGACAGTCCCATATGTCATTTCMTGGGCTTCCTGTGTTCRTAGATAGTATAAGGCACAAATTTAATGGAACCCGTGTTTGAAAGAAGTCATGACTTAATTAAAGGAGCACTAATGCTGACAGGGTTGCAAAATTTGCGGATATTATATAAGCTAGAAATCTTTTGTCATYTTTTGTTTCTGAAAATTGTAATTTGATATTGGGATTCCTGTGGTGTACAATGTAGATGTCGGCATCAACATTCTCAACGTAGCAGTTTCAAATGCGTGAATCATGTACTTTTTTATCGAAATAGTCACTTTCATTATCGTTCATATACTTGCGCTCTTCTCCGGTGGCCTTGTTTTACTTAGAATACTGTGGACAGTAGTGAGGAGACCGTTAAGTCTGAGAAAAACCAAGAGATACAAAGGTATGATTTATCAACTATATGTCTTGTAACATGTTGTAATAAGCCTTRATATTGTAATAGTCCTGTTCGTACGTCGTCGCTCCGAACCCAGTATAAGCATATGAACAGCTCGACATATAAAAACACTGTATGTAGAACTTCAGCACGATTATGCAACTACATGTTATTGAATCTTTATTTATGGTTTATTGCTTGTTGTGTTCGCGCGTTCGGCGCAACGACACGACAATGCCGGTCCATCATTCAAAATATTAATGTTTCGGATTCAAAACACGAGAAATATTAGTGATAAAATACCGTTAGTTTACCAGAGAAATCTTTCCTATCTTTTAATTTGTTATCATTAAGGCCTTAAAGAGGAATACGTTTTGTGATTTTTGTACAAAAGACAACACARATCCGTCTTCAGGCTTCAGCTTGCCAAAGATACACATATCTATCATGTGATCGACGCAATGCAAGTGTGATTTTTACGCGAAAACTATTTAATCAACACACTTTTAAATGTTCAATATACTCTCATTTTAATAATTAGGCATTTAATCATGCGTTTGTAAGAAAAACTTTAAGTGTATTCAAGACTTCACAGCAAGACAAGACAGCTTAGGGCCTTTCAGTGGGTGCCGAAACTATTGTATTTCGGTTTAGGGTTGCTTTATTTAGTCTGCATGCCTATTGTTTAAGATTTTGTTTCTCCTGAATCTGTACTCTTTTGCCCGCTCCAATTCCCGCAGAATTAACCTCCAAATTTATCAATATATAGCTTAGAAAGGAGTGCACTATCGTGTTKTGCAATGTTGTTCCATCTGGGGAGGAGGGTACGGGGGATGTGCCAAGGTCAGTCGCCCAGMGCGAAAAGGATCCTGGGACAAAAATCTGAGGAAAACTTGATAAAGACGAGAGAAAGATAACAAAACTCATTACTTATAACCGTAAATATGATTTGCCGTGTGCATGAATGCAAATAATATGATGATAATTAATCTTTTTTGTTTGTATGTTTTTTTTTACTTATTATAGTTCCTGATTGTTTGATTGATAACAATTATGGGGAACACCGTTTCATCAAAACCTCATCCAAAATGGTCTTTCATTATGTTGTCAAGGGAAATGAGAACAATCCAGTTATACTTTGTCTCCATGGTTACCCAGAGGTATTATGGTTTACAATGATGGCTATGCTGCGAAGAATAGTAATTTAGCATGAAATGGTCAATGGTACTATAATTCCATAACATGCGCGCTGAATGGCAAAATATCCACTGAAGATGTTCAAAACAATGAATAGTCAAGCTTGAAAGGCTGTGTTCCTTTTGTTTTTGAGGTTACATTCTTTTGTATAGCGGATTTATTACCATGTGACCGTTTCCTGCAAAAAGCCTATTATACTTTGAATGATAATGATAGGACAGTAAAACAGAGATGAAACAGAACTTATCAATTGGGTCAAAGTACAGTGTGATAATTCATGCTTATTTTCTGTTTTTCGTTTTGTTTTCTTTCTTTCTTGTAGTTTTGGTATTCTTGGAGGTATCAACTTCAAGGTTTAAGTGAATATTACAGGGTCATTGCCGTTGATATGAGGTRCCAGAATATCCTTCTGAGTGTTTGTTCTCATGCAGTATTTTAAATATTTGAGTTGTATTAAATTATTTTAGGGGATATGGAGAATCAGATCACCCAGAAGAAAGAGGAATGTATTCAATGGACAAATTGACACAAGATATCAAGGAATTTGTAAGTATTTTTGATGAAGAAAGTAATCAATTGATTTATTAAAGAATCATAACCAACCGCCGTACCTTGCGAGCCAAAGCGCCATTTTAGGTGGACACGAAAATGGCGGTTTCGTAGGATTTCATAAAGTGAGAGCGTGAATCGTCTTCCGTCCTTTCAGTTTGGACAGGAATACCATTAACCAAGTATGTAAACAATAACACGAGCGTGCAATGTACGGCGGTTGGTTATGATTCTTTAATGGTCAGTAATTTCATCCTTCTATTGAGTCTTCCATTTCTTTAATCTCATTCTTTTAATCGTTTACTTGTTTATTATAAAAGAATCATTTATCCCACCATTAATTTACTTATCATTTTAATGTAAATTCGCTCTAAATCTCAGTCTTGATACATGTTTAAAAATTTTTTTTCACTTCCCAGATTTCATGTCTCGGTCTTTCATCTTGCATTCTAGTTTGCCATGATTTTGGTGGTTATATTGGATGGTAATTATTATTATTTTTTATGTAATTGAAATTTTTTCTGCATAGCCAACATTTTTGCTGGTTTGGTGAGAAAACTGTCTGAGTCTAATTGAAAACAAGTAACTAGAAATTGCTTTTTTATAGGACATTGGCACATCAGTATCCAGAGCTTGTCGACAGATTGATTCTATTGAGCTGTCCACATCCCATGTAAGTTGAGTGGGCTTCCTGTGCTAAGCATTGATAATGTTCGAAGTTTGATGGAGTTGGTTTCTTTGTAGGTGTGCTGATAAATACACWGTGACACACCCATCGCAACTGTTGAAATGCTGGGTATGCAATAGTGGCAATATGCACACTCTGTCATTCTTATGTTTTATAATATTCTTTTAAATTTCAGTTTTATAATCTTCCATTTATTTGTTCTAGTTTGTCTTCTTCTTCCAATTACCATACCTTCCTGAGCTGTGGATCTGGCTAAATGATTTTGAGTACTTGAATGATGTATTTAGAGGAAATAGCTTGGTTAGTATTACTGGAATACAAGTACATTGGCTGTTCTCATTTAAGACTGATTCCAAATTAAAGYGATAGTTTTTGCTTCTCAGTTTTTACTTGGTGTGGAACAACCACAGGGAGCCCAATGAGTACCGTAGCAAACTAACCCGGATCCTTATCCACCCCCTCCCCTTCCGTTTTCTCCCTCGAGCTCCCCCCTCCCCTAGAGCCGCCACACAGGCTATAAGATCTCTTCCTTTCTGCTCTTCTTTCTACTCTTGGGCTTCCTGTCTTCCTCAATATGACAGAGGAAGACTATGACACGGCAGAAATTGAAAGAAGAGACAGTAACCCCTTCATTTCTTGGTGGGGACCAAGGACCCCCGCTCTCGGTCAAGAGGATTCCAGAGGGATCCCAAAAGGGCAAAATGAAGTGTTGCCTGTGGAGAAGACTTGAAAAAGATTGTCTTTTTTTAATTAATATTTCCAGGGTGTAAGAAGATCAGGAGCAATAACAGATGARGATATTGAAGCCTATAAATATGCCTTTGGCAGAAAAGGCGCCATAACGCCGCCACTGAACTACTTCAGAAACCTGCTTAACAGACCGCAGGGATCCCATTTCATATACAATCGACGATTTAGAAAACCAGTTTTAATAATTTGGGTAAGATGTTATATAATATTAACAAATGCTGCTGGGTTCTCAAAAAMTGCATATAAGCAGAAACCAAACGGATRTATTTATRTGAAAATAAGATGRTGAAAATGTTTTATGACRTAARAGTCTAAAAGATATGAGARAGGAAWTGATCTAACAATGTCTTTTTTCAACGCAGGGAACGGGTGATGGTGCACTTGAGTCCGGAATGCTTGAAGGAACGGAACGTTTTGCTCCAAATCTAACAATAAGGTAAGTTGTTCGATAACAGAATTTGAAGTGTTTCTTCTTTTTTGTCCGATTTCGGGGGGAGGGGGATTTTAAATGAATAGTTTTGTTATATGACTTTGTACTATAGTCTTAAAATGTTTTGATTATTTAAGTTACATGTAGTGTTGTGTATAACACACTCTTCTTTAATAATTATGACCATCATCGTCTTAGTTTTGACTAGAAATTTGATGGAAACATAATATTAGATTTGGGTCTAAAAGCATAGAATGACTTTATAGCACTCGAATTACTACCTTTCCGAGTCATTGTTGCGTTAATTGATCTTTCTACTCTTATGTGTGGCTTRCTTGCGTAGTTTTGAAGTTGGTTTAGCGATGAATGAAATCGTATCTAGACAACATATGGCGCGTYCCATCCATTACGCATTCCCTTGRCTCAAGATGGCTTGTGGTTTTACTCGACTCGAAGACGACAGCAACYCGGYGGCGAATAAATAAWCTCTTCTCATTTTCACTTCTAGATACGTCGAYGGAGCGTCACATTGGGTRCAACAAGAAGAGCCTGAAATCGTCAATGACTGTATTCATGATTTCCTGACCGCGAATTCATTTGAAATGGTTTATCAGCCTACGGAMTAGACGGCAAAACGGGTGTGGCAAACACGTGCGATTGTTTTATGCGGCGCACTTTGAATATCTGTATTTTATTAAGAGTTGACTTTCAAAGAGATACATAACTTATAAAATATCCAAACAAAAATAAGATAGGGAAATATGTAAACTGTTGGTGTTTCACAGAATGCTTTTAAAAAGCGTCAGTGAATAGCAGYTAACTCTTTCTTGGTGTCCCAAGTTGTCGGAAGRTCTTGTTCATGTGCGCSATATTCAAATATTTCATTGAAATAGCTGTAAATAGCAAATTATCAGCACAGATATTTGATATAATAAAAGGAAAATTTAAACTATGTGATCTTTCGAACACTAATAAGAAATTTGAATGGAACAAAAATGATTAAAAGAAAAGAAAAGCAGAAATAAATAAACTGCAGGAAAGGAAAGTAGAGGAAAGAGCTGAATGTACGCGCTTTCCGTATACCCCTGAAAAGKTGATATCACTTGCATTATCCAACGACTTTTGCTTAGATGGAAGAAGTATTAATGTTACAAGTACTGGCAGAAGCATGTAATGGAGTGATATTTCTGAAAATGAGAATGGGATTGTATCATTATGTATAGGATACATAATAGATGCTAATTTACTTCGTCTGGTGTTTCAGTTAATCTATTGGTGGTATTATATTATAGCGTTTCCTTTAACCGAGAATGCCGCACACATGGTTTCATATAAAAAGCCCTAGCGTACTGGATTAAATACCTTGACAGTAATCAGTCACTTACTGTCTTAGATTTTATTAGTTAGCTGTAAATTACGTTTTTATTTGTATAATTAGACCTGAATTGTCATATAATTCCATTTTCTTCCACTGATATTTTTCCATTCCCATTACCCACAGTACAATGCGCGCGCAATTCAAAGATATCCGCTGACCAGGGTGTTGGAGTGTACGAGGGCTCAGACCGACATTGACTGTTTGGCGGATTTCAAGCGGAAAGCTCAAGTACGAGTTCAAACTCTCCAAATTTCTCCATGTAAGACTTAACTTATTATTTAGAGACAAGCCAGGAGCAGCCCATAAAAGGTCATCAGTGGTTTAAAGCCCAAAATGGACCCGAATGAGAAATTTAGCAAGGTTGTCGTAGGCACTAAAGTCGACATCCAGAGAACTGACGGTGGGTGAAGACGATGTTTTGCAACCGTTTGTTTTTTAACGGTTTCTAATTTTACCTAGGGTTCCCCTGTAATTTTAGATAGAATTTAATCATGGAAATATCCTTTCTGAAATATAAAATATCTCTATTTTGACCTAGAATCACCTAGGTTATATTCCAAACATTTTTATTACGATGCTATATCGTCTTCTCGCTCGAGTCTTGTTTGTTGTTGTAGATGTGTTTTTTTCCCTATAGTAACAGGCTAAATTTTAGCGCCTTCCAGTCTAATGAACCGGTACGAGTCGTTAATCAACCTGGCTTGAAGTATTATTGTATCTGTAACTTGCAAACGCTTGAGGGATTCGATGAATATATGACTGGCTCTGTGTTTATGTGCTAACATAATTTATTTATCCCAAAATACCTCCATCAACTACGATCAAAGGTGTGTTGCTTTTATACGATATGTCGTGCCCTTAAAATTCCTGACTGGGAAGTTTATATACAAATATCATTTTAATRTATCCCGACATAAACGCCTACGACGAGCATCAATTTTCTGCATTTTATGAAATTATGTATATTTCTTTTATGTCTTGCATTTGACCATCGTCGTTATCTGTTGGATATTTTCATGACATAACAAAATAAATATTAATATTTGGCTTAAAAGCCTTTTCGTACATSCAGYGTTTGCCTATAAAATGGCATCAGTGCACTATGATTTAACTAAGGTACATTATAGATAATGTCTCGGTTTCTAGGTCTTTTATCAATGCGATGCTAAGTGTAATGGAATTTACATTGCAATTATATACCTTTCAAAAATTACTACATTTGTTATTTTGCGAATTAACTTAGGTTTTCTTTACAGTAAATATTTAACTGGCAGTGATATTTTTCTTGCCAAATCGAGTATTTACTGTTAAATTGTGTGTGAAAGACACTTGTTCACTTGAGAATAGAAACTGATATTGGACTAAAATCACAAAAGACATTCAATTTAAATATTTTAACAGTTTCTATTCAAAAGAGAATATGATGATCTATTATATTATCTATAGGAAAAATTCATTTTGTTTCTGTAATTTGTTTCATGATATTTGCCACTCCCAGAGGTGAGGCAAGCAGTTGCCTTGCCACATTTCTCCATTTTTGACAGACATATCTCTCTTATTATCATATAAACACAATCTATTTTATCAAGGAAAGCAATCCTTCATTTACTACAAATGAACAAAGGATATAACTTAGTATGTTATCCTTATTAAAGCTACAATGTTCAAAGCTATACCTTCGTCAAACCTACATGTACTGGCTAAATATTTTTAACTGCCTCACCAATCTTAAGATCCTCTGCCAACAGGGTAACATTCATCACACTTTGTGATCAATCCAGAACTCTAAAGAGAAGACCAAAAAGATAAATCTTAAGAAAAATGTGTTCTTGTCTTARATTAAGTTATCATGAAAGAACAATTTTTTCCAAATTTACACCACACTGTACAATAATTTGTGTATTCATAATTTCCAACTGTATTTTTGTRAATGCGTTGGTTTTATTAATGACCTTATATAGTGCTTAAGAAGATATTATTTCTTTCTTTTTTTTTTGTTATGACTCGATGCATCTGTTTTATCTGCTGTTATTATGATGAATGAGAAATTATTGTGTAAATTTGTGTTTGTGATCGCCCTACTGTGATTTTCATCAAAACCACCAATCCCTGAATGTTATTTTCATGGCAGTGGGTATTTCATTGTCAGTCAAAACATTTGGTATTCAGATATGCACTAGTTATATCCACTAGATTAAATTTCCTTTTTTAAATTTATCAAGATTTTTAAAGGCGTACTTTGTATCATGGGCAAAATGTTTCACCAAGATGACATTGTTACTTTTCATTCAAATACCAATTTACTGATTTGATATTTAAAAGCAGCATTTTTATTGATATGGATGACATTGTGACTAATAGGAAGCCAGGATTTCTGTCAATTTTTGGGCAATGGATTTTTTTAATTAGCATTTTCCTATAGAAATATTAAAATACACGCATGAAAATATTTTTATTATTCTACTTAGCTTCTGTTCAACAGGTGTCTATCAATGTATGCAGTGTGGTTGCTTTAAGTGACCAGGTTTAAATTACTTAATTGAATCTGGGTTTGATGGAAGCTATATCATAAACCTTTAATTATTAAACAACTCTACAAGGTCACTTATCAATTAATAAATACATGATGAATTTATTATAATATTAGTTACTGGRATGAAACATTTAAGTGTGTAGGACTTCTTCCTCTTAGGCAGCATAATTATTGCTGCACTAGTTTTAAAATTATTTAGTGTTTCATGGTTTTAGTGTTTGCAGTCTGTATTATGTAATCAAATTTGACATTACTTGTAATTTAATAATGCAGCGATGATAGTACATGTATAATTGATTTTTATAGATACAAATGCTTTTGAAAAAATCGTCATGTGACTGGTACAATCATTTTAGACTACATTTTCATTAATATCATAAATACTTTTCTTGATCAAAATTAATCATGACATCACACCATACATCTTATACACCAGACAGAGAGTTTGTAAATATCACTTCTAAACCAGCTACACTGTACCTTGAATTAATGATATATCTCTGCTGTTTTGAAAATAATTTGATTGGATTTTTTCATTGGCATTATATTTCCATGGAAACAAATAAGTTATTAATGTCTAAAAAGGTTTGTCTCTCCCTTAAAATGTGCAAATTTTTGAATAGTTTTTTGTTGACAGTATTTGACTTGACATCTCGAATTCTGCACATCATTTGTTTTACATAGCTCAGGTAACACTAGAATATAAGGTAGCCAGCCTCGTAATGACATGCATCATTAGCCATCAAACAGTTATAAATATTCTACAGTACCTCTGTCGTTGTTAACCATGTTTATTCATCGTTTAAATGCTATATTGATGGACGTTTACTGTGTATACAGGACTTGCTGTATATTTTTTAAATAAACTTTCACTTCATATTCTTATTAAAACTAAAATTTAAAATTGACAAATTGTATGTTTAGTAATTTACTTATATAGTACTGATACGTAAAAATAGAGATGACTCATGCTCAAGTTTCTGAATTCTTTTGTGGGAAGATTGCTTGCCTAAAGCAGATAAAATACCAATTTGATATGTAATGAATAATGGTGTCACRTAGCATATTCAAATGTAGAAATATAATCTATATTGTTATTTTTTGTTGTAGGAAGAATACATTCGTCCCTTGTGAGTGGTGTTAATTTAGATACCAAAAGTGTTACTGTAGAATGGTTTGAGAACGGAGAAACCAAAGGAAAAGAGGTATACTTGGGATCCCTGTGTATTTAACACCTTAAACTTCATTATTTATTTTCTGTTTTATGTACTTTTAAAAAAATATTGATCATTAAATCCATTCACTCATTTCTTTTCCCATTTATGTTTTGATATACATTTATTTATTCTCATTGTTTTGATTGATTATTAATTTATTCATTGTTTAGATGATTGATTGAACTATTGTGTAGTTGATTAATTAAGTGATTGATTGATTGATGTTTTCAGATTGAGATTGCTCAAATATTGGCCTTAAATCCAGCTCTCAATGTAAAACCAACACCAMGATCAATTGTTGTAAATAAACGCAATACAAATACTCCAAATAATAACAAGGTACATATACAGTCATTAGACGCAGTTTAATATATAATAATCATAGATATGATTAATTAATGTTAGTTGATATTAGTTAATCATTTTGTAAGTTTGTTTGTTGCAGTTCCAATCTTAACTAATAAATAAACATGTATTACTTGTAATTATATACCATTATTTAAAATGATTTCAAGTCTGAAGTTGGCATGACGCATGCCTTTGTTTTATTTGAATGTCAAATTTGCTCATTGGGGGCCAATTAGTACCATCTGATATTAGTGTGTGCACTTCAATAACATTGATAATGATTTTCACAAGTGTGTCTTTCCTTTCAGAATGCTAAGGAGCCTGTTGAATCTGCCCCTTCTCCTAGAGTTACAAGAGGTAAAAATTAAAGATAATGTTTAATTAAAATCCATTTCAATGGCTCCTCATGGGGAACAGTACTCTTTATAGCCCATTGTCAAGTTAAATTTTAATATGTTTAGTTGTTACCAATTGCTATCAACAAACAGAAATTCACTGGTGGACCTTGCACTGCATGTTTTAGCACTGAATTGACTCTTATATAAGTCAACAAAAGCAAATGAAAACTAAAATATTTCTGTTTTTCAAAATTTTCAATATTGTAGCAAGAGGAGCAAAAGAACCAGCACCTAATGAAAATGAAACAGTACAAGCTGAGCCTCCACAGAGAAAGGACAGCAGTTCTAATGCTCGTAAGAAGACACTCATTAATTTAACATATAACATTTTTTATTTCATTTGTTCCTTTATTCACACAAACACAAGCTGGCATAATTATAATGATGACAATAGTGATGATGATAATGATGATGACGATGACGATGATTGTGGTGATGAAGACAAAGATAGTGATGATGATGACCATGTGTACATCAAGTAATACCATAATATACACATATAAAATAAGACAGCAATGATATAATTATAATAGTAATAATATAATAATATCTAATAATAATAGTAATAACGATAATGATATAGTTAAAATATTGAGTAAAATATCATTTTGTCACTAGCAAATAGAAGAAGATCCAACTGTGTCAAAGAAGTTGAACGACTTAAAAAGAACCGGGAAGAGCGACGGTAACAACATTAACTAAACAATATCCCTTTGATTCAGTTATCCATGTTATAATGCATGGCTTGGTGTGCATGACTGAGGCTTTCTTTCTCATTATAGAGCACAACAACAAGAACAGAAAGAGATGCAGTTAAAATTACAACAAGAATATGACCCAGGAAACCCTGATTGGCAGTTTATACAAATGATAAGGTGTGTATTCATTAGRTAGTATTAAAAATATATAATTATATAGTTGATTAATTCTTTTGCTATTATGCTTTTCAATCCCAACCGTACATATACAATTATAGTAGCACATATTATGATCTTTTAATGAAATGAAAGAGTAAAAATGTCAAATATCATGAATTTTGTAGCAATTGTTTTAAATGTTCATTTTACTAGGGAATACCAAGAGCAGTTGAACTTCAAAGCTATAACCATGGA